TTTATTAACAAAAAACCTTTATTTATTAACGGTTGCAACTTACCATATTTGGCTGGTGGAGGATTAACTAAGACAAAACGTTACATAAATACTTATAATAAGGAAATTGAATTAAAAATTAATAACTAGATTGATTGTCATGAGTTCCGCATAATATCATCCGAATAAAAGTTATCGATTGACTTTTTGTAATATTAATTAGTGAATTTACTTTTTAGTTTTGAAGATCAATTTCCTTTTTAATAATGAATAACTACTCTCATTAATGGGTTTGTAATACAATTGTTACATGTCTTGAATACAATAATCCCATAGCACCAACACACCTCTGGCGTAACGGTACAAGATTCCTATTTCTCAAAAGAAGGTCAATAATTCGAACCTCACTGGAAACACTATGTGTGAGTCCCAACAAAAAAAAAAAATAATGTCATAGCCAAATTGCTTGGAAGTATTAGCCTCTTTTGGCGGTATAAATGCATCATGTGTAGAAAAGAAAATGATGTTGCATATATTGATGAACAGTTACCTAATAAATCTTTTATTCATTAGCACAATTAGATAGAGGAAAAAAATATATATTTGAAAGTAGATTTTATTTATTAGGGATGATATAGTGAAGATGAAGGTTGGGTCGCGTATGGTCGAGAACACAGCAAACGCAAAATAAAAGAAATGAAAAAAAAAAAAAAAAAAAAGAAAAAAAGAAAAGAAAGAAGAGTAAAGTGAATGAAAAAAAAAGTTATTTTCTATAACATTTTGTTAGCATGAAAATTTATTTAAGAAAATTGTATGAAAATATTAGTTTGGATAGCATGAAAATGAAAAGAAAGTGATTGTGCATTCCAAAATTACCCTTATGGTTTCAAATATTAAAATAAAAAAAATTTGGCTCATGGACTAATGGGCTTTCAACCAGGGAACACAAAAAGAGCAAAATATACAGTATTCTCTGTATATATAATAGAGGTGTATATATATTAGATACAATTTATATATTTGGAACAAAAAAATAAATAAAATCTTCCAAATAGTATTGCAAGAGAATATGTTTAGAAAAAACTTGCCTTCTAAATGTCCACTGAAATAGAAATTGCTAGAGAACTTGCCTCTTTGAAACTTAGTAGAAAAGAAAATCAGTTAGAAAAGAAAAAAATTAGTTATTTTACATATTCAGTTATTAGATAAAATAAGAACTTCAAATAAAAAGAAGCAATTTTCATGAAAAAATATTATTTGTTCGTGTTTTGTGTGGAGAAAAGTTTTGAGGGAAATTAGTCTAACGGGGAAAATTGTAATTTCTATTCTAATTTTTTTTTTCCATCTATCTAAACTCTAAATTTTTTCTTTCTTTTCTTTTTCTAGTTGATTCCAACTAATCAAACCAAGCCACAGGGAATGGAGGGTACAATTTTTATATGGACGGGCATTTTCACCGTTAAATGCAAAAATGAAGTAAGGTGCCGTTCTAACAATGGAAAAGTACACTTAGGTGACTTTTAAGGGGATAATATGCAACATCTGTATAGTTAATGTTAATGGGCTGATTTGCTAAAAACCAAATGTAGGAGGCTTTTGCAACTACTCAAATAGTTTTTTTTTTTTTTTTTAATTTATTAATTATTTAATTTGTCATGATCACGCATCAGATCCAATTGAATTAGACATTAAACTTATTTCAATTTAATCTCAATGAATTTGAAAAAATTAAATTCGATCTGATTTAATCTAATTCGTAAAATAATGAATTAGATCGAATTGAAATTTTGTAGATAATCTAATAAATTTTTTTGTTTGACCATGTCCCAATGAAAATGAATACGGATAATCCATTTAAAATAAATGCTCCCCAAGCCAAACCAATCCAATTAGAACAAGTGCAAAATAAATTAATAATACACAGTAATCAAAGTGCTTCACTTGGCAACATTGTTAATCGTAACAGTAGAACAAATGATTCAATCGTACAGTAATATTCATCAAATAGGATTTTAAAAACCTAATTCATGATACGATTAGAAAAATCCCTAATTTATGAACGGTTCAAAATCCGACCCGATCAGTATGAATTAAATTGAATTCATAAATTTACGGGTCAATAAATAACTGGAATTAGGGGTGTTCAAAAAATTTGGTAAATCGAAAAACCGGACTGAACCGTACTGAATTGGGCGGATTGGGCTAGTTGTATAGCGATTGGTCCGGTTCTGGGTCCAAAATTATGGAACTGTAATTTTTCGGTCCGGTCCTGGTTTAGGCTCGTGCTGAACCGGACCAACCTAGACTGGACCGTTTCTATGTTTTATATATATATATATATATATATATATATATATATATATATGTGAAAAATAAATGTGCATTGCACGTGAGGAGAAATGCTTGTGAATATTTTTATTTTATTCTTCAAATAGAGTATATATACACACACACACATATATAAATTATACTTTTCCTCTCTAAAAATTGTTTTAGTAATATAACTTTAAACTAAAACAATACTAAAAGTTACAGTAATGTTTTCTTTGATCATGTCAACATATTTGGAAGAAAAAAAAAAAAAAAAGTACGTCAACATATGTAGGTTTACTTTTACTAACCATGTATCTAAAAAGGCCGAACTTATAAAATTGTAATAAATTTTTAAATAAAAAGTGTCTGAAATAAATAAAAAACACGGCAAGACTTTTCAAGAAATTTGTATTAATATATAACTTTTCTAAAATACGTTTGAAAAAGGATAATAATAAAATTTCAAATATTTTTTAAAGTCAATTTCTTTTAGTGTTTTCAATCTAACGGTAATAAAATTCAAAAGATTTTTTTTTCCTTTAACAAATTTGAATGTATGTTGTTTTTCATTGAAAAGTTACATGTTAATGTTTTCATAAACCACAGGACATTACAATAAGGCTTTGAATCCAACTACCTACGGCTTTTTAACCCCTCTATACACCTCTTATGTTTTTTTCTTTCTAAAGATTCTTCTCTTGAATGGAATATTTTTTTATAGTTTTATGATTGTAGGTTTGTATAGCGGTAAAATTTAGAAGAGTAGGCTCAATTGAATTTAGGAGTTTCTGAGAAAGAAAAAAAAAAAATGACGAATGCTCTGAGATGGAAAATGGTGACTTATATAGATAAGTTTGAACATAATCAATGGATGATGTTATGCTGAAATACAACAATGGCATTGAATAATTATACTCATATAAGGACTCCTGCATATCACTATACCTTGTGTCAATTCCGAATTAACGGTAGAAATTGCTCTAGGCGATGTCCTTGTGTGTGTTTAGATCCGGGTTTTCTAATGACAAACATATTCTGAAAATTTGTTTCTAGCATGTTTATTCTGTCATATTTTATCTCATACGTGCTTTATTGTTTCTGTTTTGGAACTTTGTTCCATTTAGTTATTTAATTTGACTTAAATTTTGAATAGAACAATATTTGTTTTTGAGTAAATTGCTTTTAAGGTAATTTTGAATTTTATGTCTCTAATTTTATTAATTAATGTTAGGGACATCTGTTGAAAAATAGTAGAAAGTCACGTTTGTTAAAACTGTTTTCATTTTGAATAAATAATAATAATAATACTCATTTTAAATTTTGTTATGGTTGAATTAAAAATACTAAAAAGTCATAAAGGCATGGAACCATGTCAATCCTTCACCATTAACTCACTAAGTAACATCAATATCAATTTCATCTCTCCTTTTGAAAGGAAAGCCTTGCCAAGCTTCTGTTATAAGAACTGGCACGAAATTGATCCATATATATTTTACATCCCAACCATGGAGAGAAAACCTTCTCCACTCTCGCCGTTCTAATTGCTTGTCCTCTAAAAAATATTCAATCATCATCTTCTTTATCTCTTCCTAAGCACTGTCCTAACTTTCTAACTTATCTAATAGAGTTTTGATATATTAGAAAAGTGACGTCTCTTATAATCAAGGTTAAATGAGTTCTAACAAAATGATATAACTTTTACAATTATATTTGGTGATTTAGTTTCACTAAGTCACACATATAGAAGACACGACGTTTCAAGTATTGTATTAAAGGGTTAAAATTTTTAAACCAAAATTTTAAGACTCGGACTGAAAAATAATACATACACGATATTCTAATTTCTGCATCCAAAATAATTATTAAATTTTTTTAATTCTAAAGAATAAATGTAAAAAGACTTGGATGTTAAATTTGGCTCTATCTATGCAAAACAAGAAACAATGTTGAAAAACAATAAAACTATTACCTCTCAATGGTGCAACCTAAAACAGATGTAATCATAAGCTAAAAGTAAAAACAAAAGTTGTATGGCTTTTTTTATCAAAAAGGTTAGAAATTGGTTGGTATAGAATTCAAATTAAAACTTACCTTAAAAAAATGAACAACATACCTTCAATAAAAATAAAGCTTGAGTCATGCGCTTCAATCAAATACGAATTTTCTAGGAAATATTTGAAGTTGCAATAGAACATAGAAGAATTTTTTTTTTAACAATTTATAGAAAGAGCCAGAGAGATAGAATGACAGAGAGAAATTTGAGAAGTTGTGTCGATTTGATGTTTAATTGAGAGAAACTCCTTTTAAGACGAGAACTCTTTGCAAAAAAAAAGCAAAAGGAAAGTAAAATATGGAAAAAGAAAAGTGACATTAATAAAGAGAAATATTGCAACTCTTTGAAAACAATAATGTCGGTATAATATTTTTGTAAATTGAAGATATTATTTAAAATGTATATAAAAAATCAAAATTGAATACACTTTTATATATAGGGTATATAGATATGTGTATATCATATCCTAAACCTACCCTTTTTTTTCTTTTGTTCTTTAAATAACTTAAATTTCATTTAAAAAAAGTCAAAATTTCTTTTTTAAATATATCTCAATCGGACCATGTGTACCCTTTATTGGAATATAAGTTTATATGATTAAATCAATATGGTAACCCGAAATATAATTCAAAATCTCTAACTCCGGGAGTTATTAGTTATATCTGTAGTTGAGGTCGAATTGTAACTACCCCGCTACGAATTGCACCGCCAACGCATTCAAGTAATTTTCCCTTCTCATCTCCTTTTCCCTTGCCACTCCCTCCAGACTCACTGTTATAGGAAAAATGGCGGTTTCATCACCTGCCGTAAGCACCAACCCACCGCCGCCGCCAGCGCCACCGCCACCACCACATCCACCGTCACAACGGTCTCCTGCCCCACTCGCCGCCACCATCACCACCAATTCATCAAAGAACTTTACGGGGCCTCAAGGTTCGAGTACATTAAGTGCGGCAATGTAGGTCGATCCAGGTAAATTTAACTTATCCACTAAAACACCTCCTATGCCGTTGAAAATTTTATCGCAAAACGAAATGCGTTGCGTTCAATTTGATAGTCGAATTACTAGGGTTTCCTCACTCAGCTTTATAATCACCCGCACACATAAATTACCCCCACTCAAATATACACACGCATATACATACAATGTTGCAGAATATTTGTGACAGAATCCCTTCCATGCAAACCATTTAAGCAAATATAATTCGTTATTTGTTTAGTTTTGGTTAAATTATGCGTTTCTTTTTTTTTTTTTTTTTTTTTTTGGAAGGTAATTATGCGTTTCTTTCATTGCATGGTTTCAACCTTATGTGTGACTTTTGTTTACATGTTATAGTACCAAAAGTGTGTGATGCACGCTGTGGTTTGCAACTTAGTTTTGTAGAATTAAAGTATCTCTGGCACAAATTTTTTGTAGAATTGAAGAAGACAGAGTTTAAAGACTAATTGACTTACTTGTAATTCTATATATATTTAAATGTATATGTTATAAAGAAAATTATTTTTCAAACTGAAAAACTTTAGCCTGCTAAACACAAGTAGCCAATGAACAAATGATAAGGTAACATCATGCGGGTCTCACATAAATATAACTATTATCACTTTTGCTTCTTATTATTTGGTTGGTTTGTTCATTGGTGTGAGTAGCATTGCTCATGCTATAATATATTGAAACAACTAGGGTATAGAAATGAAGGTTTATTACTTTTTTTTGGTGTAAATCTAATTTACGTTATACAGTTGTATTCCTTTATTACTTTGGACAGGAGAGACCTTATTATTTGAATTACTAAAAAAAATAAAAAAAAATTTCCATCAGTGTAGCGTGGTTTACCTACGTGCTTAAGATTTTGACATTCAAAATTGCTTGAACTGATATTTTTCTTAATAACTGACAAATGATATTGAGGGAGTTGAATTGGTGATTTTATTTTTCTTGATTTCCACGAATTGCACTAAAAAGCTCATAGTTTAATGCAAAGTGATGAATTTGGGTTGTTTCAATTGCAGTCAAGTTTGTATAATACTTTGAATTCTAATTTAAAATTTTTAGGCCTTCAAGTACACAAAATCTTAAATTTTAAGATGCCTATTATGCTGGCGATCATTTGGATAGGAGATAAATATGAGTTCTGCACTTTAGTTGGTGGTGATTTGATTATATGGAAGATTAAGAAGAATGTAGCAGCAACATTAAATGCACGAACCAGAGTAGAAAGCTATGGTGCATAAACTATAGAGATGATCTGGATTCAATTACCTCTAAAGGAGATGGCATTTATTAATGACTCAACTATGAAAATGTATTTACATAACACACTATGCATATTGCCTCTAATCCAGTATTTCACAAGAAACTAAATACATAGCGGCAGACTTCACTTCATTCAGGATATGTTGATGGGGAAAAGCTTTTACAGCATGCGTCAAAGTCTGAAGGTCAATTAGGTCATATATATACTTAAGTTTTAGAAAGAGAGTTTTTTTAAGCTATATAATAAGTTGGGCATGACAAATATTTACGCTCTAGCTTTAGGAGGGAGTGTTAAAATGTATTAATGTGAATTTAAGGGGTAAATGTGAGTTAAATTACTCTAATGGACTCAATTAGCTCCGTAGGCTTTAGATCAATAGGATTTAGGTTGGAAAATTTCGTTAAGTTTGTAACTTTTGGTTTAATTTATAGCTTAGGTTGAAAGATTCAACAGTTAGTTTGTGTTAGTTATTACCAAAGGAAATTGAAGTTACATTCAAGGATAATTAAACAATCTTCGTCTGTAAGGGTAAAAAGGTAATTTAACATATTCATGCACTCACAAAATTAGAGTTTATGCATGCATAATTAGGAATTTCGAATTCTACATGAATTGATCTTATTTAATTTCCTAAATCTTTCAAAGCATGTATGAAAGAGTTTTTTTGGGAACTTCTGTTTTGATAAATTTTCTAAGTTTGCACTCTAGTATATTTCAACCGATTGAGGGTTTGATTTAGGCCCACTGGAGTGTCATCGATTGATCGTCAAAGATTGAGACTGGATGTCTAGTGGTTGAGACCAATTCAATAAAGGAGATTCGTGGGGAGCAATTCTGTTGATGGAAGGACGAATGGGAAAATGGAATCGGCAGTGACAGTGAGCGGTAGTTTGATGGAGGTGAGGAGGAAAATCAATGTGAGAATGGTCATACCAAGGATGAAAACCAATTTGGCAATGGGAGTGTCCATTAATGGGCTGCCTGAAGGCTTGAAAGAGGAATAAAAGAGCATGAGTAGGAGGTTTGTGAATGATAGAATTACATTCCTGAGATCTATGTTAAAATTCATGATGTTCTATATTTAACTCAAGATTAAGAGGATATATGTGTGTGTGTGTGTGTATCAAGATTGCAAGGGCGGGGGGGTGGGGGGGCTAGTCCCTTTGAAGTTCCACCCGTCTATAGGACTTAGTTTGACAAATTTCGTATATCAAAATAAGAGTTTATAACTTTGTTTTTTATTTTTAGTTCAGAATGTTTAGAAGTTAGTTAGTGTCATGGTAGTTGTTAATGCAAGATTTCGCGGCGACCCGGAATGACAATATGAGAAAGAGAGAAAAAGGTGATCCGGAGGGCACCGGTGTGGTACCGGCCTAAGGGCACGATCAAGTCAGTACTAGATCAGAAGGATGGAAGGAGGGCAGGAATGGGAAAGGACTTTAGGAAGGGATTTTTTGTCGTAACCTTTTTAGTTGACCTGAATCTCCTCTTTATAGAGGAACATAGTAGAATTTAAGTAGGAGAGTTATTGCCTTTGCTTCTCCAACATGGATGGGGAAGCCATTCATTATCCTTATCCTTCAGTTATTGGATCCCGTCAAACTTTATAACTCTCGTGTGGCGGTCAAACTTGAAGACTCCATATCAGTTGCCCCCCATTCTCGTGTTTGCACGTCAAACTTAGAGAATGTAAGTGTTGCACATCTTGCATTTTTTTTTTTTATTATTATTTTTTTTATCCTGATAGTTTAGCCAACCAATGATATAGGAAACAGTACAATTTTCCATATCAATTGTCCCCCATTCTCGTGTTTGCATGTCAAACTTGGAGAATGTAAGTGTTACGCATCTTGCATTTTTCTTTATCCTGACATTTTTCTTTATAGGAAATAGTACAATTTTTACTACATCACAATAATAATAATATACTTTGTTAGCGCACTTACAAGTGATACGATCATAGAAGTGGTGTATTAATAAGCAAGTATACATATAGGTTCATGGTGTGTATATATATGCGTATTTGTGCATGGATAATAATTTAATTCAAATAATAAAGCAAATGCTTGGTTATATATATTATGCGCTGAACATAAACACAAGGGCTCATGTAGCTTAGCTGGTTAGAGCATCCCATTAGCATCCTGGAGGTTTTGGGTCCAAAGACTCCAAACTCCCCTTGTGCCAAAAATCCCCTTTCTTTTTATTAAAACAATAAAAGAAGGGGTCAGCAAGTAGGAATAGAATGCCGACTTCTTGCCGCCAGTGGCATTTCACCACGTGGCAGCAAGAATGTGCAAGGAATGCCATTGCGGCAAGGAGTGACAGCAAGATAGCAAGATGCAAGGTATTCACACATGCAAGGAGGAACCGTTGTGTTACATCAGAATGGATTGTGAGATTGGTCGCCACGTGGCAGCATGTCAAGAAGCAAGCAGCAAGGAGTGGGATGCTGCCACGTGGCAGCACATCAAGAAGCACGAAACGCATGGGAAACACTAGCAAGGAGCAATTGGTGGGATGTGAGACTGTGAGATTAGTGGGATGCCCAAGGTATCCCACATGCACAAGTCAGAAAAGATATCAACAAAAAGGGAATCCTAACACAGAGATATGTATATTTATTTAGCGCAAGGAAAATATTTGAACAGAAAGGGAATCCTGATACCTGGTCCTTTCCCTTTGTTTCAGAGCTTCACATCTTCAGCTTTATAGCACATCATCCGAGAAGTGGAAATTTTTATTTCAAAGTTCAAATTTCAAATTGTTACCGCTCATAATCCAATTGCCACGCTTTTTCAAAGGCCACCATCGGTCTACTTTCTTCGGAATATAGCAATGAAGGATCTCATTTATGGTTAAGGGAGAGTTACCACAAATCTTCCTTAATATGAGACATCCTATGAATGTTTTCCAAGCATTTGGGGTGAGTTGCCTAGGAGTAAGATGAAGGAAGCTGAAAAACTCCCTAATGAAAGGAGGGAAAGGAAAGCGCAACCCAGCGGCAAAACATACTCAAATAGTCAAATTTCACTGTCGGGAGCCTTTGAAGCCCTTTCATTGGGGAGGGGACGTCGAAGAGAAATATAGCTGGGAATGGAATATGAAAATCGAAGAATTTCTAAGCAAAGATAAGTAAACCCTTTCAATAGATTAAAATAAACAATTGCAATAATAACAATTTAACAAAAATTATAAGCATTCATGTATGTGTGTGTATATATGTGTGTGTGTGTGTGTGTATATATATACTTGAATGAGTTGTGACCTCTTGTCATTTGAACAACACAAAAGCAAACCCTAGGTGCTCATCGTGAATGTTGAATCGGAACTGAAAGGATTTCGAGTTGCCATCAGACTGCCCACTGTAAGGGACAATCTTTGGGATCAGTAGCTTCTCACCAAAGGCCACAAAAGCTGCCGTGGTGGTGATTTAGGGTTTGTAGGCCTTGAATCCAAACAATAGGCGATTGTAGGCTTTGATTCAGGTACATCAAAGGTTGCGGCTTCTCACCAAAACCCAAACAATAAGCGATTGTAGGCCCTGAATCATCAAAGAGAGGACCGGTGCTGGCTTGGCTCCTGCTTTGGCTTCTTGATTGGCTATTGCCAGTACACGGACTGGACTTGCAGATGATCTGATGCTCTCAGGCAGATATGACATTTATCAAAAGAATGGGCCAAAATCGAAATGAAAAATCAAGGCCAAAGCCAAATGCCAACCTAAGAAGGTGCAGGAGAGAGAGAGGGGAAGAGAACTGGTGATGGATTTGAAACTTGCATACCCTTAGCAGCAGCCCCCCTATTAGTACCTAGATTGGTGTCCTGTTAGTACCTAGATTATTCTTGTCCTTTTTCATAAATGTCCTGTTAGTACCTAGATTATAGCTATGTCAGGTCAGAATGGTGTTTAGGATTTTGCTTTGGCCTTGCTTTTTCGTTTCGGTTGTTGGCTCATTCTTTTGATTAATGCCATGTCTGCCTGAGAGCATTAGATCATCTGCAAGTCCAACCTGTTTGTTGGCAATTACCAATCAAGAAGCCAAAACAGGAGCCAAGCCATCACACCAGTCCTCTCTTTCTCTCTCATGCATTGCGGATTCAAGGTCCACAATCGCCTATTGTTTGGGTTTTGGTGAGAAGCTACTGTGTCGCTGTGGCCTTTGATGTACCTGAATCAAGGCTTACAATCGCCTATTGTTTGGATTCAAGGCCTACAATCTCTGAATCACCACCATGGCAGCTGCTGTGGCCTTTGGTGAGAAGCTACCAATCCCAGACCTAGAGATTATCCCTTACGGTGGGCAGTCTGATGGCAACTCGAAGCCCTTAATGTTCTGATTCAATTTTCGCAATGGACACTTAGAGTTTGCTTATTGTGTTGTTCAAATGGCAAAAGGTCACAACTCAGGTATATTACCGTATATATATACATATATGCACGCACACATACATGAATGCTTATAATTTTTGTTAAATTGTTGTTACTGCAATTGTTTATTTTAATTTATTGAAAGGGTTTACTTATCAATGTTTTAGATCTAAATTTTTCAGTAGAAATGTAAGGGTTTCTTCCCCTCTTTAGAAAATTCCAAATTTAAGGATCTATTTTTTATATTATTGTCATTCAAGGGTTGAGATCGAGACAGCCTGTCAAATCAAAGACGTTCTTGTTTTGGACAATGGTTTGAAAATCAATTGAATGACCATCCTTTGTGTTGACTCTCTCGGGTTTAGCGTTGTGCATCTTGTTCTTTTGTGTTTTCCCAATAATACAACCTTTATTTCCACATCTACTTCCTGGTCTTTATGATTATCTTCATTAAGACAAGACATCGAAATTGAAATTTGCTTAGACTCAAAGAATTCTAATTATTGTGTCATACGGTTTTAGCAGAATTCATAACTAGAAGAGTAACTTAATAGCTTTAAGCACTCTTTAGGAAAGCCAGCAAAGTTGTAAGGAGTTTATTACTTTGAATTCAATGCAATGTTCGTCACCACTCTTAAAAAAGAATGATTATGTCAAATGATTGATGGGATGAAATTAGGATCCTTTGGCTATGATACTAAAACGATGTAGAACTACAACCACCACCACTACCACCAAACCTTTTCCCAATTACTTGGGGTGGTGCGCTACATGAATCCTATGTTTCCATTCAAAACTTGAAAACTGTAATTAATGCTGCTTACAGTTGATTGTGTGTTGAAGTTATGGAAAGCTTTGCACCTTTAACGTTTATATGGAGAGATGAGAGAGAAAGTACATGATGTTGTTGAAAAATGAATTACTTGATTGGCTTGCTTTTTTTACTATAATTGGTTTCTAGAATTGTAAAGAATTGCCTGCTTGAAATTCTGATAGTAACTAATTGTGGGTCTTGGAATATTAAATTAAAGACCAAAAGATTGTGCAAAGGCTTGTGGTGATGGAATTAGGGTTTTGGGATGAAAGTTTAACAAAATTAGGCCCTGTTTGAATTCGCTTTTGAAACGCCGCTTTCGGCTTTTAGAGCCAAAAAGCTGATTTTTTTAGTGTTTGGATGATTTTGCAGAAGAGATTCGGGCCTCTAGAAGAGCATTTAGACAAAGCTGGGGTGGACCAGCTTTTGTAGGAAAGAGATGCGGGAAGCTGTTTTGGGGTTTTAATGAACTTTTCATAATACCAAGCGTGCCCCTCGTGATTCAAATGAAAAAAATAAATTTCCAGTTATACCCTACAATGTTATCGTTCTTCTCCTAACCCTCTCGCTCCAAACATGCCTCTCTGGCTCAAATTAGGTTTTTCATTCTCACTGCTTCTTTCTCTGTCTCCTCCAAAAATTAACACTGAAATAATATCTTATCACTGTATGGGCATGGATATTTTTGTAGCTATGTACATATATTGATGTACATACATATACACGCATAGAAGTGTACTTTTTCAATAAAAATCGTATGGGTATGCGTTTGATAGCTTCTCCGGATGGAGCAGTCACTGTTGCTGGTGAGTCTAGTTTATCGGCTCATCGTAAATGTCTATGGCGCATTATCTGTAGTTGCAAAGTTCTCATATTTGTTATTTGCTCTCTTTCTAGGTTGTTGGTTTTATTTTTCAAAAAAATTCTAATTCCCAAGAACTTTTGGTTGATTCTTCTATGAACTTTATAAATCTCAACATTTATGATGGGTTCATTCGTTTAGTGAATTTAACAAAAAAAATCGTTCTCTCACAGCCCATTGTTTATAAATTTCTAATCTGAAATGCATTTTAAAATGCTCTGATTAAAGAAAACAAGCTCCATTTTCATATAAAATTGCTAATCTATTGCTTGTAGCTTGATTAATGTATATATATTCATACATATATGTATATATATGATCAGTTGCTTTATTTTATTTTGGTAAAAATTACCCTTTTGATATTTTAGTGAGCAGTGCAATTGCTTATTGTAATTATGTCAATTTATTCCTTTGGTGAGATCAAATGCATAAATCCAAAGAATGCAGAATTGTGCGTGTGTGTGTATATATATATATATATATTATATGTGTGTGTTTGTGTGTGAATTTGCATGATTAGAAAATGAAGTATAGTGCTACTTGATATATATGTTAAATATTGATATCATGGGATTTTTTTGGCCTTGTTATCCTATACTCTTGGTTTGGAGGGCTTGTTCTCCCTGTCAAGGATGAGGAATTGAAAAATGATTCATTGGGACAATGTCAAAAAAAGATTGGTTAGCTCCTAGACAATAGTTAATTAAATCTAAGAGTATCTTCAATGCAAAATGCTATTTTTCCATGCCAAAGCTATATTTTGAGAGGAGCTGTAGTGTCAAAATGCTATATTTTAGCAATTCTGCTCCAATGGTGCATTTCATCCAAAATGCTATTTGGAGTATATTATTTTCATCCACCTGTTATATTTTGAGAAACGGCACCGTATGAGGAAAAAAAAGACCTCTCAAAATTTTTTGAGAGCTGCTATATATGGTAGTATTTTTTACAATCTCAAAATATGAGAGGCCTTTTGAGAGCCCATTGGAATGTATTGTTATATTTTGACTTTGAGAGGCCCTTTGAGAGGGCATTGGAGATGCTCTAAGGGAAAAAAAGTGAATTCAATAGTAGAAGAGTTTTGACAAATGTTTTGCCAAACACACAAGAAAAAACTATTTGTCATGGAAAACTCTTCTAAAATATAGTTTCCAAACAATACGCTGAAGTTAAGTGAAAGTGATAACTTTTGCTTTTCTTTTTCTTCTGCATTAAAGCAAAATCTATGTTAAACGAGGCCTTAGTAGCTTATTGAGATTGGCATAATAAAATCTGACCTTCTGGTTAATGGAACATAATCCACCTTCAATTTAAGGCTGGTGAGGGTACATACTTATTTCTTTTACTCATAGTATTCAGTTATTGGCGTCACCTCATTTTTCAATTTCTTTTGGACTGTGATTGCAGATTTCAAACTCCATACAACTTTTCCAAACTAGCATCTTCTTCTAGCTCTCCTTTGTTTGACGCGCTATCAATGGAAGGATCTCGTTGTAAGCATCAATTATCCTTGATGTATATCTTACTCCAGTGTTTGCTGTTAATATATTATATGTACAGTTTAAGATACAGGCAACCATGGAAACTGTTATCCTCCAAGGGGCTGCATTGCATTTTTATCATTTCTGATGGGAAGGCACGAGCTTTCAAAATGTCATGTCCTTGGTTCCTTTCCTGCACCTATTGTTTGCATATTTAATGCCTACAATTGTTCAGAATATCAGAAAGTGTAATTTGTTTTTTCAAAATGACAGAAATGAGTCTGGGTTTCTCTGAAAGTCGGTTATAATTTGGTGATGTATTTTGTGTTGAGGTTGTGGAGCCTACATCACAAGTTCTGATGCAAGTATTGTTGTCTCGATTGAAGTCTCGATCGATAGAGTTAATTCTGAGTCTTGAGAGCATGAAAAATCTCGTTCGAACTTGACCTCTTTCGATCGATCAAAACCATAGCCAGTTCGATCGATGTAGGGTTGTGTAATATACACGAGAGATTGTGAGACAAAGAGCAGATCATATAGAGCTCTTCTTATAAACATCCATCATTATTGTTGATAGTGAATATTCCGGTGCGCTCCGTGGACGTAGGCAAAACAATTGTACCGAACCACGTAAATCCTTGTGTTCTTGTGTGATTGTTTTTCCTTCTTGATTGTTTCTGCATATTATTATTTTTTATTCCATTATTTCCACAACATTTTGAAGGAGAGACTGGTATTGTAAATTTCATTGAATTTGCTTCTTGTTCTTGTAATACTAACTTCCAACCTTTTACTTCTTGATTTTTTCCTTTTCTTTCAATCACATGTAAAACTCCAAGGCATTTGCTTGATGTTTCTTTTCCAGCATTTTTGTTTGCACCATTTTCTGTGGGGCTGATTACATGTTTGTCTGTAACACTTGGTTTGGTTCTAGCTTTCGGGCTATAAATCAAGTTTTGATTTTTGTTCTGGGTGTGTTCTTAGTTAGTTCTGTGGGGTATTTTTCAGGAATTCAGTTGTAGTTGCTTCACTTTGGCGACTTCCAAACGATTTTGCCAATTTAATAATTTGTGAACCCTCTTCTTCAAGGTAGCCACAATTTATTACTCTCATAATTATATTTTGATTCAGAATGTCTCATCTTGATCCAGGAAGCAATTTCAGGATGCTGAAGTTATAAATGAATGAAAGATCTAAAGTGAAGGAATACAAGAACAGAAACGTTGAAGCTGAAAATGAAGGTTTTGATTGGTAGGTATATGCAGAAAGTGCACTAACTGGGGGAGATGTTTGCTAACTTTGCTTTGAATTATACACCAGAAAGGACCTTCCAATGATGAATGCCCCAATATTGAACCCTAAACCTACTTCTATGGACGGTTACAAAATGATGATATCAAGTTTGGAATTTAAGTTTCGACACTGTAAACTTTTTGATGTAAGAAATGGTTGATCGGTCAAGGATGCTTCTGAAATCAGAGTAAAATTATGATGGTAATCACCTCAATGAGCAAGATGAACTTATGAGAAGGCCAAAGAAGCCAAAAGCTTGACCAGAAGAGGGGGCTTCGGCGATGCTCTTAATGGTATCTGTGTGCGTATTTCTTCCCTTGAAGATAATAGAAGATTTGTAGTCTGCTAAAACTTCCAAGTAGAGAGTTTTTTTAGTTTAGGGGGACTCAAATACGGATACACCTGCTCGGGGGGCTCTCTACCAACTTGATCATTGGGCGATGCCCATTTAGTTAATTTGTATTGACTGGATCACAGGTTTCCTAGCCATGTTGTAGTGTCTGATATATACATATATTTTTTCTTTTTGGTAAATGAATTTTATTAAAGAGAAATAACTATTAATATGTTTAGGTTTTGAACATGGTTCTCCAAAATCCCAGTACCCTAAAAATGTTCCACAATATCAATTTAGTGATTCAACGGTTCCTATATCTTCTGTTTGTTTTCCTTTTACATGTTTTATCATCGGATATGGTAAATTTCTTTAACTATACATATATATATATTTTTTGAACAATTTTACTATATAAATTTTAAATGTCAGTATCTGGCGTGGTTGGTAGATATGGGTTGTTTGGAAAATGGTGAAATATGCCTAGTTGGTTTGAATCATGTTCAATTTCAGAGTCGATTTAGGCTAGTGTTAATTGAACCTGAGCAAATTGTCCAACACTATTATGTCATTATTTTTTTGCCAACTTAACTCCAAGGCTGGATATGAAGGTAGGTTGGGACAACCATTTTGTACAATTAGGGTTGGGCTTGAATTCGGAAATTTAGCACAGTTTCAGTTTGGATTGAATCGGGTTGAAGTATGAGCAATCACAACTCAAATTTTAATTAATTTATATATAAATATTATATATCTATAATTATGATCAACCCCCTTTCAATGGTTTCTCCATTGTTGAGCTTATAAACCATTGAGCTTTACCATACTCCAACAAGCTCCTATAGGGGCAAATTGTATGTGTTTTTATTATTATTGTTATTTATTTTTTTATCCCAAAAAAATAAAATAAAAAATGGTGTTACTCTAGAAAAAAACAAATAGAGAAATTGGACCAGTTAAAAGGACTAGAAACATTTTCCCAAATCAATATCCAGGAGGGCTCCTCAGTCTTGACTTTTCAAAGTTTGATTTTTAAAGGGCAGTGTCAAAGGTTACAACATTATCAAACTGCATAGGGCAACCTATTTGGGCCAAGAAAATGGATCAAGAGAAAAAGAAAAAAAAGAAAAGAAAAAGAAAGCAATATATTACACACACACACACACACACACACACACACACACACAGTTGTATATTTCATATTAGGACAACTATGGAGCAATTCAGGAATTTAAACCCATCATCTATCAATTGGACAGGAATATGTTGTTTTCAAGCCACACCTTGTCCAATTCTCTAGTTAGCTTCCTCCACAAACATTGCCTTTTCAGAAAGTCATAATTTAGGGTTAGTTTGGATGTTCAATGGAGACAGAATTATTCACTTTTTCATAGATATTTTTAAGTTAATAAAATCAAATCCCCAAACCAGAAATGTTGAGTAAAGAAATGGAACCACATATTGAAAAGACAGTGTCCTTGAAATCTCTAACACGCAGCAATAATTGGCACCAATTCAAATTAAATGTCATTGGGACAACCAAACAGGTCACTACCTCATTATTTAACTTTGAATCAAAGTCATATTTAGTTGAGGAGAGATGGATTAGTGGTGTCTTCACAAAAAGAGAATCCTATATGGGTTTCAAAGGCACATACCATTATGAGAAAGAAATTCCATCTTTCTTCATCTTGAATTGAATTATATATTCTTCAAACTTCTTTTCAAATCATTTTACCTTTTTTAGGGTTTTTCTTAATGGGGGGATAGTGCTTTCTTGCTTTATTTATTCTCTCCTATACATACACACACATATATATATGCACCTCTCAACTCATAAACCACACATTTCTTGGTGGATTCTTCTTTCTAGGCCAAATTTTCCCTTGAAACAAGCAAGTCTAGCAATTTCTTGGCTCTCTACACAACTACTACTCATCTCAACATCAACTTTTAAAACACCTTTTGTGTAATTATCAACACCATTATCATAGCCAATGCCACCCAACCTCTCTCTAACTCAATCATCGTTCTTTCTAGCTTCAGTTTCTATTCATTATAGACTAAAATATCAACCCACTACAAATTAATGAATAGCTTTATTTAGAGTAACAAAAATGGGTGAAGCATTTTTTTTTTTAATGATCGATTGCTTAAAGCAAAAGACAAACACAAGTTACAATTGCCGAGAAATCTGAAATTTTATTGCTGAATGAATGGATAATAATAATAATAATAATAAAAACCCTAACAGCATAAGAAAATCAAAGTAAAGTTAAAAAAGAAGCAAGTTTGCCTAGCATCTCACATCACGTATAAAAAATTAAAAGAATTTGATCCGTTTAGACTACAAACCAAAAATCCCAATATATACAACAATTCTAAAATACAATTTCAAAACCCTAAATGATGAAATTTGACCGAAAATAAACATGTACCACTAACAAAAGCTAGTGAATTCTGATTACTGGATCGTTTTCAATGACAAAATTGTCCTCTAAATTATAGGATGAGTTTTTTCCTTTAGTTTTCAAAAATCATTAACGACAAAAACACCACTAAAAAAACTAAAATTTTTAATTTACACATGGGGGGTAAAGAGGAAAAGCAAACTCAAAAGACAAGAAGTGATGACTTGGAAGGTAGTTTGATTTCTCACTAACTTTCTATGAGTAATCTTTTTCCATTGAGATCAAGATGATTAGTTTAAGGCAATAAGCAAATCCACATGTGGGCAAACAATAATCATGTTGGTGATAAGGATTAAATAAAAAAAAAAAAAGGTAATCAATATCACATGGTAATGGTGATTTCCAAGCAGTCTAAATGCAAAGCAAACTATATAATATAATATATATTATATATATATATGTGTGTGTAGATATTGTAGATAATGAAGTGATATGACTAATTAGTGTATTAATTAAGAAAGTTAAGATAGGGAAGCAAGTGTCATCATATGTGGTGTTTGGTTATTAATTCATGGCTACTTTGAAAAAGTCTCTTCCATGTGTAGGTGCAGTGAAAAAATTATGGGTTGTCTATGATTTGTCCATTTTTGTACCTCAACGAGTGTATTGATGCCATTGCAATATATGGTGGTGGTTGTATCATTTGTACTGTCATAACTACTTTCACGAGGCTCTTGCTTTTGCTAGTTGTTGGTCAAGTACTGCAATTAAGAAATTAGGGCCATGTTTGGTCCATTTTTTTGAAAAATAATTCACTATGAAAACTGTTCATTTTTTTGAAAAATAATTTCTGTGAAAACTGTTCACTGAAAACATGTTTTATTATTATTATTATTATTTTATTTTTAATTGGGTTTTAAAAAATTGTCTGCCAAATATTACAATTTTTTTTTTTTTTTTTTGTAATATTTTCTGATTTTCAGTTTCTTGAAAACATAGGACTTAAAAAATCGAACCAAACACGTCTATAGGTTTTTTTTTTTTTTTGAGAGATTATAAAGATGTATGCCAATTGCTAAAGAGAAGCCACTATCCATATTGATTTTGTTTAGGTGGAGTATTGAATAGAATAAACAGATTTTTCATTTGGCATTATTTTATTTTAAATTTTTTGGCAAGTAATAAATATATGTATATTGATAAAGAAAAAAAAGAAGGAAGAAATACACACAAAGACAAAGCCCACGGGTCAGAAAAACAAGGCCCAAATTGGGCAATCAAAGTAAAAAAATTGTACAAAATCAACCCATTCCCACCCAACCCCACTACACGGAGAGACAATCACTACAACTGATCAGCATATACACACACACTCACACACATACACACACACACACACACACATATATATATATATATCTCTGTGTATATAATGTCCACTACTTTATATGTGTATGTATAGATAGAGAGAAGAGAGAGAGAACTTTAGAATCTACAAAGCCAATTCTCCAATTAACCAAGTCAAGCTGCATAGTGTGACCACGATGGACAACCTCCTAAACTTAGTTCTTCTCATCATCATCATATCATCATCATCTTATGTATGATAGCAACCTATGAAATCATGCATGTAGGTGAGTTAGGCAACTTGAGTAGACATAACACACACACACACACCCACACACATATGGTCCCTGACTTCATGTAACGCACAAATATTTGATATATAATGCACGCTTCACATGAATATTGTGCCATGCAGTCAAGAAAAGCAGGTCAAAACCTCCTTCCCATTTCTTTGTTTAATTAGGGATTGATTAATTTGAAGGGGTACAATTAATATTCTAAACATTAGAGTCCAAATTCATGTATTAAAATTAATATATGTACATTTTGCAAATATTATGCGTGACGCGTAAACCTTATTATATATGGCGTGACTCAAAAATTAAAAAAAAAAATCTTAATTTGACTGATTTGGTGATTTAGAAAACTGATTAAAACGTGATCCTATTACGATATAGGACAACAAAAGATCAAAACGTGGTTGATAAATTCCTTATATGTTCATCATCAATTAATGGTGTCGATTACGTGGTTGATAAATTCCTTATATGTTCATTATCAATTAATGGTGTCGATTTGGTGCATTTAGGGGTAGAGAGATATATTGTATCTAAGAATTCAAACCATATATATAGACCATCTTGAGAAAGTTGGCAAATTAAAATCACACTTGCGTAGCAAACTATGCACACACATATAATATAGGATAATACTTGGGTCTTCCCGTGAGAGGTCGAAGTTCATCCTCTCAAATGAGGTGGATCAATAAAATTAAAAATTTTATTTTATTTTATTTTATTTATTTATTTATTTTTCATCTTATGCATTCTCTCTCCACAGTCTTCTTTCATCCCCACCACTATTCACAAAACCCTAGTCTTCATTCTTTTCTTATACTAATCCTGCAATACTCTGTAAATAAAGTTCACCTTAGATATATAACAACAATGATAGTATGTAAATAAATTTTGCAACTTAGTAATTCCACCTTATTAATTGTGTGATTTCATATCTAAAATTGTTCTTTTTTATATATATGTGTTTGGTACTATAACACACAACTCTTAATGAATACCTTTAAGAATGAATATCTGCATATCTATCTACTAATATAGTTATATCCCAGCATTGAAATTATTGATGCACCGTGAATAAGAATATGGCAAAGGGGTGGAAGAGGTATTTTAGGGATTGAGATGGAATTTGAGTATGAAAAATTATGT